TTTTGCGTGATCTAATATATGGTATAGTTTCAAGTTTTGCATTTATCTGTAAGCATTCTTCAAGGAACAAGGTAAGAGTATACCTGTGTAAAAAAACCTCGACTTCTGGACTGATGCTTGTTCTCAGCGCGTTGATCTGTATTCCTAGCATGACTACAGCAATGACACCAGACACTCCAAGCACCTCTTCCCCGATGTAAAATGTCAAGTATGTACTAGCTAAGGTGATGGTAATCTCAACCAAGGCATCATTGAACACATGCTGCAGCCAGAAGACGGTAACTCTTCCCGCCACTAGACCGAAGAAGAAGCCTCCCAATGCGACACGAGGAAAGTACAGTCCAATTTCCGTGGCTTCATAAGAAAAGAAGCTTCCAGATTAGAGATGATAGAAGTTTACAAAAATAGCAATGGCATGGATAATTTCCTAACTCCTTTATTACCACGCACCTCGATTTAGTGAGGTAGCATATTCATTCAGTTCTAGGCCGACTTCAAATGAAGATAAAAAAAATTATTTCCTGATCTGCGCATGAGAACATTTCGACCTTACCCGGGCGAGGTTATAAGGTAGGTAAAGAAACGGGAAGGCACAAGTCTGAAGGAGGGAAGGAGCCCTATGCTTTCTGTTGAAGTTTTGAGAAGAGTATATGTAATGAACCTGTAAGTACTGGCTTGTGTGATTCTGTTTTTTAGATCAACCAACATGGATCCATGTAAGCTACTTATAATAACAAAGGCAGTTTTGTTGACTTCGCCATCAGCAGATTCTGCGTTTTTCATCGCAAATTACACCTGCAGTATGAGTGCCCCTAATAAATCATCACATTTCTCCAGCCAGTTACTTACTGATTTATTTTTATTTTTATTGTCATTTTCATTATCAAAATTACAACTATCGTTGCTATTATTCCGTCATTTTTGTGAGCAATGCAGGTATCGTAGTCGTGTAAGTTGTGTTAGTAATGTTATTACTGTAATTTGTAAGTATTGCGTAAACACTGAAAAAATAATTAAAACGAACTTTTTTGATTTCTTACCAGTCATCGAGGAAAATGCCAGGCTAAAAAAGATCTTGTACAACACGATTGCCATTCCATCGTTTAACAGTGATTCACCCTCTATGATAGTAGACAACTGCTTGCTTGTTCCTGAGGTGCATAGGGTTAAACATTTTAATTATTCAAATATTTTAATGCAGTGGTTCATGAGGATAATTTCGAAACAGAAGGAGATTATCGCCAAAAAGGACTACATAAATAGTTATGATCACAATTAGTTACAATATTACCCTTTGACTACACAGTTTTGAAGCATTCACTCAAAGTTAAGTTGTGTTCCACAGCTCTAAAGTTTAATGACTGTCACATCATGTAACCCTTTACACTCTTCACACTCTTGCCACTAGAGTTCTTTTTGATATGTGCGCTATATAAATACTGGTTATTAGTATTCATATTTTAAAAACTGATCTTGCCATATCTTCTGTGGTAATGACAAGGAGATTTCTTTAAGAAAAATGTCCAATTTTTTCGTGACCTTTAGACATTTGATTCAACGGTGATATTGTAAAAGGAGAAATTTTAAGCCAGTCGCTTTTAGAGTTAAAAAAATTAAAGGTGGTGATTGTTTATCATTAGAAAGGTACTATGATAATTTTTACCACTTTGACATTACTGAGACGACATTACTTTCTTTGATACAATGCTAAACAATTTGATGTAAACTGACTTTTGCATCGCTTACCCAAGTCATTCAGCAGGGCAACTACAGCCACAGGATCTGTAGCACTTACTATTGATCCGAATAGCATGGCCTCAAGCCAAGTCCAGTGATAATCAACGAACACCATCTTGGCCATAATACCTGACAAAGCTGTGGCAACAGCTAAACCAAACACTGCAAGCAACACAACTTGCCAGAACATCTTGTAGAAAATATGGACATCCATAGCAAAAGCTGACTCAAATAGTAGAACTGGTAGGAAGGTGGTTAGTATAAGATGAGGGTTCTGACTTGACATAGAAGTGTACCTTAATTAGAAGAAAAAGTGCTTTCAGTTCTTTGATCTTTCCAAAACGTTCCTGTGACACTGATGCTTGTTACCAAATATGTTTGTACGAGATTCTTGTTTTCTTGTTTTTTTTTTCGCATTGAACTTAATAGCAAATGATTATGGAGATGGCCATGAGCAATTGACCCAAATTCCTTAAGAAATGTTTGTCTACAAATGTCTGTCTTTTTCTTGTCCAACCTTGTTATTAATTTAGCGTGCTATTTTTTTGTCTCGTAACGTAGAAGTAAGCGGTTACTTTTCAAAACTCCTTTCCATTTGAACTGCGGTTGAAGAGACGAACATGGGAGCAATCCTCCCAGTTTTGAACACCACTTAAGTAGTAGTGAAAGTAGGGCCTGGAAAAGACTTAGGCTCGTACGGGATTTGAACCCATGACCTCTACGATACCGGTGCAGTGCTCTCCCAACTGTGCTGACAAGCCAACTTAACTAAGAGCTAGTCATTGTTGATTCAAATAAACCCTCGAAGTGGTGAATAAATGACTGTTAATATATGAAAATCATATATGTAAACAGTGGTTGAAGAACGAAGATGGAAACGCTCCTTGCAGTTATAAACGCTACTTATATAAGTAGTAGTGAAAATAAGGCCTGCGGAGGTGAGAGTAAATCTATCGAATACCAGTAACGTTCCTAATCATTTTCTCATCCTAACACGGATGGTATCAACTTGCTTTAACTATTGGTTTTGTTTATATTTATTGAGAGTCCTCCTTCCAAGTAAAAGAAAAATGCAAAGATTGCCTTACTTTTGTAGTGTTGGAACAGCACCTGATATTGCTCCAAAACAAAGTCCCAGAACAATCAAAACGACGGTGTATGGGATAGGCCATCCTTTCATTATTTGCCGAACAATAGCTGGCGAAGAAAAGACGATTAACATATGCCTGTAAAGTGATTCTGAATCTGGTATGTACATTAGCAATGTCAAAAAACTAAGACAATTTGAAGCTTACCTCCGATAGTGCATGACATAAAAATAAACAGGATTGCATATGGGTTACTGTCATGAATCTCGTGTGATTCATGTGGAGTATGTGTATAATTAATTGAGCTGATCATTTTAGATTGCAAGCCGTATAACCCTTCTCGTTTCCGCGATTTAACTCATCAACGACAGGGTTACAGAAGAATTCGATGGCTTTCAGGCGGAGTTACGACCCTACGGCTCCTGCCATTCGTTATCATCGTTTTCCATACCATATTGAAACGGAATGTCGAAAAAAATCGTGGAAAACTCTTTCCTTGCATAAAACTACAGTCATTTTATGAAGAAGCCATGAGAAAGTTGGCAGAGCTCACGCAAGCGCGTCATTTTCGCGGGCTTTTTTGAATATCCGCTGACCGACTTTTCTGGAACTCTTTTACAGATAAAAAATCTCGGGTCGACCCGTGTCCTTTCGGGTCCACAGAGGGGTAGTCATTTTGTTCCAAAATTAACTTTTAACCACTGATTTGGAGAAAATTTTTTCTCATCAGCAGATTATTAGAGGAAAGGCCAAGGGTTTCAGCTGCAAACAAACTGACAGTGTACTCTTCCTACTTTAGAGTGACTTAAGGTTACTTCCCACCTTCGCGGGTGTCCTTCGGAAAAAAATTCGTACGCGCGCTAGCTTCACCAAAATCCCAGCTCCAGCTCTCAGCAAACTATATATCAGACAAAAAGTTTATTAACCGCAGTTTACGATAAAAGTATATTTTAAGCCAAATTTCTTTTAGGGAAGTGTCAGGAGCCGGTAAGGCGTGAAACGACCGAATGCCGCAGCACGAGCAAAATGGCTGCACAGTCTTATTCACAAGGTATGGATCAACAAAAGCGTGTCAAGCTTTTTTTTATTCTGATTAGTTGTCTAGATATCAGTATCTATAGTTGGAGTAGCTGTAAATGTGCAAGGCGCGTTGCGTAAATGGGCGCCACGGGACAGATATTTCTAATATCAAAATTTCCCGAAACACTTTCGTTTATCATTTTTCCTCTAAAAGTTTTGGCGAAGTTTCACGAAAATCGGTTAAATCCATACACCCTATAAATTCGCTCAAAGTGGCTGCATTCCTCCCAAGATCAAATGCGAGATTTTAGCTCATAAAGGTTCGCAAACAACTAGCGCCACGCCATGAGATTATCTTGCCTTTTAAGACCGCAAACCAATAGGACAACGGGACCTCCTGGCATTAATGATAATGGATCAAGATTTCCCGGGAAATGTAACCATAGCTGTTTTATCTCGATCGCTCAAAGAGCGTTTTGGAGGGCGACACAATAATGAGCAAAGTTGCCAAAAGCAAAGGAAAAACCCGCGGCAAAAGATGGAAAGACCGGAAAATGTGCTGAGGAGCGAGACAACGAATCGAGATACAGCTTTCAAAATTACGATTCGAGGCAAGAGCCCATTACTTAATGGGCTCTTGTTCGAGGTGATTTTTACTGTTTTTGTACCAAGGCTGGTACTTACAAACAGAGAAGGAAACCTCGTTTTTAACATCATGTATGGCAAGTTTTGATTTGACGGCGACTTCTTTGTTCCGGAAATCTGGACGCCAGTGAGGAGCTCCGCCAGTACCAGTCCCTTTCACAAAAAAGTCCCTTTTTACTTCTCTTGACAGAATGGTACTTTCTTTCTTCGTTGAGCCTTTTTTTTATTATTTTTATTTTTTTTACTTAAGACTTTCTTCCGCTTTTAATTTTTCCATGAGCAAAGATTTTTCCATAAGCAGAGATGCCACGTGTAAATTTTAAACAAATAAAAGAAAAATCCATTTTTCGGCCTCTGAAGGTTGGAAGTAACCTTTGGCGATCTCAAAGTTCGGAACAAAGTTGGATAGAATTGGCATGAGCAAAACAGCATGAGCAAAAATGAGCTGTGATCGTATTAATTTCAACGAGGGAGACTGGCGCGAGGTCATTCATTGGAACGCAAAAACAAAATGGCGGTTTAAGCTGGCACTTTCTCCCACATTACATGTCAATTATTTTGTGCAAGAAGGCAGCCATTCTTTCACCTATTCAGGAACTATGGGGAAAGAGCAAGACCTTCTACAAGCTGCAAAAACTGGAAATGTCGCACACATCGAGAAGATTCTCGGTAATAAGACAAGGAAGTCTGGAATTCAAAGGTATTTGGGAGCTGTCTTACAGATTGACAGGAAATGAAAGCTGATTGCTCTTTTGCTCTTGTTTATTGATTTTCACGCTTTTGCAGTTTGATGAGCAGGACCGTCAACCCTAATCATCAAGACGAACTTGGATACACTCCGCTTCATTACGCAGCATTAAATGGTCACAGGTAACGATAATATTTTTTTTACTTGGATCGGAAATGACACAAGGAAACCTGGACGTGTTATTACACGCACTGTGCAATTGCGTGCATAACTCGGTTGCTGTCTTTCATTGATATTTTCAGTTAACTTTTAATTCTTTGTCAGCCGATCGCTCATTCCAAAAATCGCGAAAAATGAACTTTATTCACGAATGTGTGTTCGATCAAGACTGGCGCGCCATTCATTTCCACTTACCTGTATGTCCTCCTGCACCTTAACCCTCTAGCTATTGATGTTTTATCATTTTCGTTAACCTTAAGGTTACCACGTTCCATGGATGCGGGCATAATTTTCCTCTACCGAGATTTAGCACACTCTAGTGTCCTTAATGGTGTTTGGTTTATAGGCTACAGTATACTAGGCTACTGTATGTTGTTTTAGCCCACAACTAATATCAGTATCCAAATTCTCCACACTCTTCTCCATACATTTCCTTTCGTACTAACAAGGAGGATTTGTTTGACAATCAAAGATTTTTTAGATTGGCAATCATTTCTTTGATTCTCATGATCAGCTTTCACTTTATTGAAAAAGTAAATGGTTGTTTCTTTTGGGGTTAAAAAGGTTAAAATGACCATAAATACTAGTAATTGCTTTTTCATCTTCACAAAAAAAAAGGCAGTGGAAGAGGTACGTGTCTTTTAGGACCCCTTTTCTCTTAGTTGTATCAGTGGTTTCTTTCACACTTCCATTTTTTGCACATTTTTCTTTACAAGTTGCCTCCTTCCTAGCATTGTTATTTCTTCAGAAGTTTTTTCCCTTTTTCCAACCAGTATCTGTTGGTCGAAGATCACAATGCACACAGTACAGACTTTTCTATCAGTTGTATTCCCACATTTATTTATTTTTGTTTCGCTTCTTTCTCAGGTCATCAGCTGAGCTTCTTTTAAAATATGATGCTTCAACAAACATTCCAGATACTTCTGGTGAGTATCAGAGGAATGATATTGCATGTGAGCTGAAGTAACCAAACAACCAAACTTCACAATTTGTAATGAAATAAACTTCATCAGACCTTTGGATTGAAAATCAAGTGTTGCAATGATCCATAGTTGAGCTGTAATTTTAGCGCTTGGAGAAAAGAAGCCTCAAATGAAATTCAGGCCTTGACAGGAATTTAACCAGTGCCCCCAAATACTATAGCAGTAGTTGGACACCACCATCAGCTGAAGCTTTGAAGTTGCACTTAGGGAGCAAGGCAGATTTTGGAGTATTCTTCTCTTCCATGAAGGAATCTGAAACACTTTGTGATGAGGATCATTGGTTTACTTGATTTTCAATCTGCAGGTTGAATGAAATTTGTTTCCTTCAGTTACTCCATTTTGACGTAATGCAAAAAATTTGATCTAAAAACAAAGAACTATTTTATATCTGTAGGAAACTACCCCCTTCATTTGGCAGCATGGAATGGCCATGCTGATGTGGCTAAAGTGCTCATAAACACAGGACCATCAAGAGCTAATGTCAATGAACAGGTTTGTCACTGAGCAGTACTAGATGTTAGATGTACATGGATTATTTCTTGACATTATGGTTTATTCTTATCCTGATTCTGAACAGAATGATACAGAGGACACAGCTTTACATTCTGCCTCTCAGTTTGGGCAAAGTCTTGTTGTAGCTGTTTTACTTGAGGTACAGTATGTTTATTATTTAATGTTTTAAAGCTGCAAAGATTGATGACAGATCAGGATTCGGTTGTTCAGAGGGTGGATAACACTATCCACTAGATAAATCTCTTTGTGGTGGATAGTGCAGTACCCAGTAGATAGAAATTTATCCTTTGGATAGCATTGTCATCCCTTTGAAAAACAGGCCCAAACACCATCCACTGGTTAAATTTCTATCCAGTGGATAACACACAGTATGTTAACGCTTATCTGTTGGATAGCAGTTTATCCATTGAATAGCATTATCTGCCCTTTGAGCTACAAATACCGGTAGATTTTTCTTTGAATAGATATGATTAAAAAAAACATCAGCAGAAGGCTCTGATATTCATTTTATAAGACCTTGCATAATATGATTTTATTAGATTTCTACCACACAAGCTGTTGTCCCTAATGAGTTAGACTGGTGTTTTGCCAGTATTCCTTCCAGGTGAATTCAGTTAAATGTATGTGCTTGGTATTTTTCTTGATATCATATTTTTGTTACAGAATCATGCAGATCCTCGTATTCTAAACAGTCGTCAGGAATCACCACTTGATTTAGCAGCACAGTATGGTCGAATGGAAGCTGTAAGTAAAAAACATTTCAGACACAAACTCATAGAAACTTGGCTCTGAGTCAGGTGGTTAATTGAGAGTGGACTGAATTGACATGTTCAGTTTTTTTGGCTTTAAAATGTTTGATTTATAGGGGTTAGCAATAATTAACACTTGAAACCCCAAAAGTGACTAGCATCAAATTTGTCCTTACCACATCATCCTTATAATCACACATGGGAATAAAGGAAATTATCAGCTCATTAAAAAAAGCTCTTGATTGTTTTGGAAATTCTCCCTGTCAGCACTTTAGGAAATGTACAGGTCAAGAGAATAAAGAAAATGATCCCCAACTACAGACTGAAGCTCTTGATTGTTAAACAAACTCTTCTAGTCTGCACTTAAGGAAATGTTTGCAGAACAGTATGGAGAATATGCATATTGATGTTAGAGTGTAAAGGGTTATTTAAATAATAATCTAGAACTGGGTTAAAAAAGGTAATTTTCTGATTATAGGTCAAGCAGTTGTTGAACTATCATCCTGATCTCCTTGAAGATGGAAATATGGTTAGAACGCACACCCCTCTTCATCTTGCTGCAAGAAACGGCCATATAAATGTGGTGTCATATTTCCTTAGTTGTGGAATGGATGTCAATATATCGGTAATATATCAGTTTTAATCTTCCATCCCTTGGATTGACTAGCATCTAATTTCTCCCCACAATATCACCCCTAAATCATTAATTGAGAAAATGAAATCCCTAGGAATGACTAACATCTAGTTTCTCCATACAACATCCCCCTGAATCACTCATTAAGGTCATGAGAGTAAAGGAAATGATCACTAACTAAAGAGACTCTTGATTATTAAACAAGTTCTCTTTCTTAGCACCTTAGGGAATTTAAGTCCAATTACAACTGTACTGAATGATTAGTGAAAAAAAAGCAGCTAATGCACCAATTACATTTGAGGGAATTGTAATGGTTATGATTAATGACAATAAATAGCTCCCATTAAGTGACATTATAACTCTTGTAGGGTACATCTGGAACAGCCCTTCATGAAGCAGCATTGTATGGCAAAGTGGATGTGGTTAATCTTCTTCTACAGTGTGGTAAGTTGATTAGTTCAGAGGCTGAAATGCTGGTGACTAAACATTTTTACTTGTGAGTTCACCAGACAACTCTTGAGACTTTGGCTGTGCAATTAAGACTTTAGAGGCTTAATTTGGAACTCTTTACAGCTTCCCTTTCAGTCTTAACCCCTTTAACTCCTGTGAGTGACCAAGACAGAATTTCTCCTTACTATTATCTATACAATATCAATCAGATGAGTGATGAGAATAAAGAAAACTATCAATTATAGGATTACTAATTGGTTCAATACCAAATTCTTCAAACTAACATAATGAGAATTATTTGGCAGACAGTAAGGAGAATTTATAACGAGATCTTGGGAGTTAAAGGGGTTAACCCTTTACCTCCAATATAGTATTTTGCAAATAGGTTGTGAGTCAGAACAGACAGGGTCATTTGCAGAGTATATCATAGCAATGAACTCTTCCTTCTCATTGACAAGGAAATGTTTATTGGTGAGAGTGGAGAATTGCTAAATGGATCTTGGGAGTCTAAGGGTAATGTCATAATTCCAAAGTTGTACAAAAATTTATCTTTGCTGATTAAGTGTTGACCATTGTTAGTACGATAATTCTGAGACTGAAACTGACTCAATGGTTCTATGAATATTTTTAAATACTAAGTAAAGATATTAGAAGTGAGAACCTTGGGGTAAAGGCTGGTTTTCGTTTATCTGGAAAGTCCCAGACTATTGGCAATCTCACCATTTCTTGACTGTCCCAGATTTTGCTGATATATGTTTGTATTAGAAGATCGCCAGATGTTTGTCTCAGTTGATTATAGATGCCAATTATCTTTGAGCTGGGGATGCAGGAACTGAGCAGCTAGAGAATTGGTGACGAATAAAGTTTTCATATAGTTATCTTCAATGATCAGCAACCATCTTAGAACTCTGGGATGCATTAGGAATATAGAAACACCCCCGATTTTCCAGATTGGTGGATGACCATCCAAGGCAATCAGAGTTGTCTTGATTTTGAGTTTTATTAGTCAGAAAGCTCTGGAATGGTTTGGAAACAGTGAAATCCAGCCTTTTAAACAGTGTTAGAGAATTCCTTGTCCTGGCTGGGTATGAAAATAGTATAACCTTGTGCAAATGTAGAAGATAAGGTCTCATTGTTTGTTGCCATAGGAATTGATGTCACTGTTGTGGATGGCAACAACAAAACAGTGTTGGACCTTTTAGCATCACACCCTTCTGGAAGAACAAGGGAGATAAAAGAACTAATATATGGTGTGTTTTAAATAAAATTTATCCTTTATAATAATTGTACCTTGATCTTCTTGTTAAACCTGTATGAAAGGTTTGATTGACATAATTGCATGCAGCTTTTTTGAGAAAGGTTTTCAGAAAAAAAGGATGTAAGTGCATGAAAAAATCTTGAAAGGTTATCTGGGTATCTGGCCATCAATGAGTTTACATCTAAGTCAAATAAATAAATAAATTAATTAAATGCGCAATGCCTCATCATTCTCAGAATTCTCAAAAATCCTGATCATGAGGTTAAAGAGATGTGACCTGAAACTACCCACAATACCTTTTGGGTTTGTTGCGTGCACTTTTACAACCTTTTCAAAACAATTGTATACATGTATGGATGGGGTCTCTTGTTGATAGACAGTGCAATCAAGTTGGGCAATACTATGGTGCAAAAAGGGGTTAAAAAGCAGCTGCCTCTGTCCTGGTTATCAAAAACCAATTTTTTTCTTTTGGCAATAATGCCTTTTGCATAGCTCCTTGTTCAAACAGACCTCTTAGAGATGGAAAGAAGAGGTTTGAGAATCTGTTATGGCACAGAAATTTAGCCAGGATACTGAAAAGAAAATGGCCACATTTATAGTCAGATTTTCAGCATGTGTCTGCAAAGTCAAGTTTCCAAAAGGAAGTTAGCCAGTGTCATAATCAATTGTGTTCTTCTTATTAATGGTAGTGATAACAACTAATATACATTTCCTGGAAGTTAGCCAGTGTCATAATCAATTGTGTTCTTCTTATTAATGGTAGTGATAACAACTAATATACATTTCCTGGAGCATAGCTGTGCTTGAAGAGTAACCAGCTATTTTAATTTGTAGCTTTGGGAGGGCTGGGGGTGAGTTCCCCTAATCACTTCTATAATGTTAACATGCTCTTATGCACTTTAGAATGATTTTCCATTTTCACTGTATAAAGTTTGTTAAGGTGATTCCTCAGAAAAAACTGTTATTGAACAATTTTTTTAAAATTCTCCTTAAATGTTCCTCACCAATGTCTGTTTCAAAAAAATACAATAAAAAAGATAGGTCAATGGCTTGTTTAGGAGACATGAAGGACAAAACTTACCCCATTAATGCCTGTACTAGCACTAATCACACACGGCATTTTGCTGCAGCTGGAAGCAAGGGTTTTTAAATAAACACTTTAAAAAAACTTGACAGGTAGAAAGTCTCAAGCTTATGGAACAATTTGGTATTTAAGTTTAGGGAAAATCATGCAAATTTTTAATGAAATTCACTCAAAATGTTCCTCAAGTCATTCCTTTCAAGGTCATAATTTGCATCCTCGAGTAATGGGCCTTGTGCACACTTTTAGCTTTATTTTTTTTCCCTTAAGGAATTTTTTCTAATTTCCCAAATTTAATGGGGATAAATTTTACACCAAAATTGTGCAAAAAAAATATAGGTCACCAAGCACATTCAAAAGCTTAAGACCATTGCACCTCTTTACATGTTCCATGTATTGAAAAATAGTACTGTGTTTTGGGAGTGCGCATGTGCTCATTGTTCTGATTACTTGATCCTTATGCGCAATACAGGATGCGCAGCGCAAAACTGAGGAATCACCTTAATACCTAGTGATGCTCCAATTCTTTCAATGCTACTAATTTTCTGCTTGAACTTGTTACTAACCAGCCTCCAGCCTCAAAGAGCCTGTTTCTTATTTAAGGCGGCAAAACACTGGTGAGTTCAAACAATTCTGTGAGTAATTGCAGACAAAAGTCAGATCATTGGTAGAGATAAATGAATAAAGGGGTAAGTTTCTGAGGAAACTGTGGTGCTACATCGGTGGGAGGGTATAATAGGGTAATTTAGTATTATCAACTAGGTTTATAATGTAAATTGGTGACAGGAAAGAGTTTCAAAGCTGATGTTCACTCTGATGAAGGGCTAACACTTAAAATGTTAGCTTTTAAATTCTTTGCAGTGGCCAATTTATGTTATCAACTCAGTTGATGATGTTAAATTACATTGGTTGAGATGATTTGTTCAACTAAAATGCTTCCAGCTGTTGCATGCATGTTTGTGTATATTTTTACACTTTACGCCATAGCATCAGTGTGTATGTTCTCCATACATTTCCTAAAGTGTGCACAAGAAGAGTTTGTTTGACAATTAAGAGATTGTTTGGTTGGTGATCATTTCCTTTACTATCCTGACCTTAATGTGTGACTCCTAGGGGTCAGAGGGATAATATTAACATTTTGACACACTAATTTTACACAATATGTGGTGAATCTTTTGTCAAGAAGGAATTGTGTAGCTTCCATATCCCAGTAATTATGAATTTATCTCAGTAGTCTGAGGTGATTATGAGAATGCTTAATCTCTGTAATTATTGTTCTCTACACCTTGCCTATGGCACCAACAATGAAAATTTGTTCAACCTTCAAGAATTTGTTCAGTAAATTATCAATTCTCTCATTTCCATGACCCTAATGTTTGAGTTAGAGGTGTTATTGTGAGAAGAATTCAGATGCTAGTCACTTGAAGTACATCCCAGGTTTTCTGCAGGAATTTAGGTTTTCTCAAAAGTTAGCCAGTACTCCTGGGTGGAGAAGGGCATGTGTGATAACTAAATTACCCGTTGATTTGTCATGAAAGATGTCTGTGATTTTCATTTGCATCATGTACACTGTAGGTCCTTGTTATTAATAACTATTTTCTCTGCTGTCATCACAGAGTTCAAACCAAGTACAAGAAACTCAGCAAGGACATCAGACACATTTCCTGTGAGTTCAAATCAATTTAACATGTATGACAATGGGCCATTTTACAGTTGTTTACTTAGTTGCCAAGCCTTTGATCTGGAGTGAGGCTGAAGGTAGCTTGTTGTGATAGAGATCAGTATCTAGTTAGCATGATAACAAAGTAATTTACATTTGAAAAGCAGAATGTTTGTATCACAACAAGGTCAACCTTAGCCTCACTCTTGTTCAAAGGCTTGGCAACCAAGCACTCAACTGTAAAATGGACTATTTGCCTTCCCAATATAAACTTGGCCATCAAAGGCACATTGATGTGCTAGATAAGTAAATGTAAAAGCTTTTTATTACGAACTCACTATCATCCACAGGCTTCTATTCTTAAAAATGATTTGGTCGACATTTTAGATTTTGTCAGTTTGGTGGATGAGTAAGAAAAGGAAAGAGAGCACCTAATTTTTTTATGCAATTGCCAAGTTATACTCAAATCAGAGTCAGCTGTCACTGTCTGCAATGAGTGACAAAAGATGTGGCATGCTCCACTACTGTTTGAATTTTCTCTATAACTTTTTATTTATCTCCATAAAAATATTGGTCACTAATTTGTTTGGGGGAAAGGGCAGACTTTCAAGTGACTCATTAGGGATGAATTACAAGATTTCTGTTTATTAATTTGAGTGGAGGGTTTGTCAACCACCTTCTAAGGAAAGACGAGCCAACTACTCATGCCACTCATTTTAGTTAGAGTATGACCAATCACTCAGGGCGGGAGTACAGATTAACTTAGCCATTGAAACCAGGCTTCCCTAGTTCTCAAAGCCATGACCATTTGGGTTGCCATGGTGAGCAAAGAAAGGTTTTGGTGACTAGATATGCAGCATTGCCAGTTTACAACCTACATTGTATGCAAGTGGTGTAGAAGTACGCTGTTTTTTTCGTTGTTGTTTTTTTCAATACTCAGAATCAGTTTTCTAAAGTTAACCTGAAATGAAATTTGATACGAGTTATTGTTGATACTCTGTAATTTTTTTTATCTTAGGAAAATTGTCTTTTTCTCTTTGGTTGTCCAATTTTTAGGCCTCTTGATATCCTGTAAATATCTTCCAGCCAGTCATTTTTATCTTTTTTTTGTGGCAACTAGACTCCCCCCAAAAAATATTATAAGAGGTAAACCTCCACAGTCAATTAAAAACTGCATTTAAAAATGTGATTAGTTGTAATCTTCAATTTCTAATGTATAACGTTAGGGGTTCCCCGAGCGTCCTAAGTCAATGGCTGTTTCCAGGAGTTCAACCTATAAACCTGTTCCACGTCAGACAGGTGTGTTGTAAAATTGATTGATAAATTTCTATCTTGTTTCTGACGTACTCTTATGAAATTGAACCATTTTTGGGATATTTGGTGTTAGATCTCTATAACTTCTTCATGATGAGTTTGAGGATTCCCATTACCTGATTAATGATCACTCTAGGGAGCAAGGAGGTTAATAACGTACTTGAAAAAATTCGTGTCTCTGATTGGCTGAAAACGGGTGCATTCTTGTGTAATAAGAGTGCAAAGTTGTAACACGAGTGCAAATTATAAATGGCACGCGCACGCTCTGAAAATTTAAGTCTGTCTTGCCTTCCTTTGATGTTTATTCATGTATATTAGTGACAAGTAATTTTTAACAAAATTTCGCTGGCAATTTGGTGTAAAAAACTTGTAAATTTTTCCTGTCCTATAGGCTCGTGCAGTTTTGTTGTCTTTGAAAAATTTACTCGTGCTTATTAACAACAAATTGCACTCGAAATCTTGTTGCTACTTTACTAATGCACTTTGCCCCCTGATCATTGTTTGTCAACCTGTGGACGGTTTTATCGAGGATTGCAGCTGATCTAGGTTTTGTCATTTACAGGTTTGGATCCAAATGCCCTTCGAAGATCAGGGACTTACGATGCTGTGCCTATCCCACGAACGAGACAGGAGTCATTTGTAAGTGCCTTTGAATTGTTACAGGCTATTAATTGTGATAAAGTTTCCATGATTGCTAGCTTAAAAAAAAAATTAATTCAATTCATCATGGTTCCGGGGAAACTTGCTTTTGGAAAGCCTGTGTCCTAAGAGTTGTAGCTTTTGAAAATGAGGCTGAGAGGTTCAGTAATCATTGGAGAATGTATGCCATAGAAATCATCTCTACTTTGTCTTCCTATCATTGTTTTTATATGACTGTATTCTAGGCCCGTCATTTGGGAGTTCTAGATCCACGTTTGTTTTTGAAGCTGTGTGACCGCAAACGTCAACGAGTCACGTGACCCTAGCGGTCACGTTCGCCGTTTGCCGTCTACGTTTGAACTCCGTGTTTGAAATGAAGGAACCTCATCCTTTGTGTAATTCCAGGTGGCAGCGCAAATGTTGATTTTTTTCAGGTGAAAGCCAACGTCGATCTAAAAAGCTGAAAGTCTCGAAACTTCTAACCTCTAACCACAAACTGCTTACCGCGGTTTTATGTTTGCGGTGAACACACCAAACGTGGATCTAAAACTCGATTGCCTACTTTGATCCCGCGCAAGAACAAAAAATTGCATCGAGCGGACTTAAAAAGTTCAAGATTTTTGGAGAATGTCGTCGGCATCGAGTGGTAAAAAGTGGCAGAGAACTTTCCTAACAAAAGAGACATGAAAGACGCTCTGAGTTTAACGTGCTACAAAAACTAGAAAAAATAAATAATTATTAAAACACAAAATGATATGAATTTTCCAGCGCGCAAAAAAAAACCATTCTTGATTGTAATGAAAGAGACATATTTTGCTATACACTGAATCCTTTATTGACTAAGCTTCTTGCGTGGTCAATTAATTAATGCTGGCTGACTTTTGGCAAAACCTAGATTTTTGCAGAAAACCTGGGATGCACTTAAAAGTGACTCGTTCTTGTTTTTGCGTTTTGTGGGCCATGACTTCGTCTCAGTCCATAGAAATGCCAAAAAGAACTCGGAACTTATCCAGCCATCTTGACCGCACGCTTGATCCATAATACATACAGCACGGTTTGTATAGTTGAAAGAAGATAATTTTTTGTTTCCAGGAGCAGCCAACTTATGATCAGGTACCACCAGCTAAAGGTAAGTTTCAACACACACTGTAGGTTTACATATTTACAACGCGACAACTTTAACCCAGGGCATCCAAGGTTTTTAGCTAATAACAGTTTGATTAAAGAACAAAAAGATCAGAGGTGACACACTCAGCTGCCCTCGTGAGCCACTTTTTTGTTTATACCACATTTCGAGTTTATTTAAGAAATAGGTGGTGAGTAGCGAAGTCAATTAGATTGCAGCATTTTTGATAAAGTGTACGTAGATTTATATTAATTCATGCTGTGGCTGATTCTTTGAGTTGTGAAGAAAAATGTATCTTAGCTAATTCAGAGGTTTTTACGTCGACCTTTTTTCATTTTCAGCTGCGTCTGCAAGACACACTACTGACTGGACTCAATATGAAGAAGTAGGGTCTAGACCTCCAATCAATAACAATTTGACGTCTGCTGGTGAAGGGTACACCCTATTGGGTTTCCCTGAGCAACCTGCCACAGACGCACCACCCGCGTTAAGTTCCCAGGAGATCACTGTTGGTTACACTCTTGTGGGACTTCCAGGCAACCCTAGTGCAGTCACTAATGGTAAATGCCCACTGCGACCAGGCAGTACCTATGCCAAAGTGCGGAAAGAAGGTGAGCCCATTGTCTCGCCTTGGACAGGGCCTCCTTCTCAAATACCGGCGGGTGAGTATTCCTGTCTGGCATTTCCTGGTCGGCTGGGGAAAGTGAAACTCTTTCCATGTCAGTTACAATAGTGTAGACATTAAGGTTCTTTCACTGGTACTGTGGCATACGTTTATTAAAATTCTGACGCACAGTGACAGGAGCCGGAAAATGGAGATGTCAGTTTATGTAACTTAATACTCGTTTACTCCAGACACAGTACCCACGAAAAGGTTATGGGTAAGACCTTGAACAATTGTGCATGTACGCAACAGAAATTTCAGGGATTTAAACTTTCATGAGAAGACAGTTGAAGACAGTTCGCTCCCCACCCCCCCTCCTCATACATTTTGTAACAGACTGTTTGTCGCTACCTATTTCAACTAGGACATATCGCTTAGGCGCGAGACAACGGTAGATAGAGCGCATGTGGATAGAGTGTTGTAAAACCAAATAATAACTACAGCCAATCAGGAGAAAAGAAAATGTCACAATCAGCCAATCAAAACTCAAAGTGAATGTAAGCAAACTGCCTGAAGCGCGGGAAAACGCAAGTGACCGAGTCGCGACTGGTTTTAGTTTTGAATGTGATTGGTTTAGAGGATGGCACGAGATTTCTAGACCAATCAAATTGCGCCGTAAAGTGAAACCCAGGGGGAAGCCTGGATTACTTTCGACACCCAATCGAAAATACTGTATAGAGCCACAGACTTGTTAGCAGAAGTTACCTTTTCATGAGCTTTCTAAGGGGCCATGTTTGAGTGATCTCCCATTTTTTTTGAAGGCATAGCTAGCATAGACAATCCTGACTATTGTTTGGTTGGTGAGACCACCCGTCCACATTCACAGTCGCAGAACCAAAGTGGAGGCACTTATGACCTTGTTAATCTGCCATCAGGACCGAAACCTGATGTAAACCAACATGATAGTGTCTATGAAGTCCCCCCTGCAACATTAAGGGGAAAAGGCAATGGTCAGGAGGAGAATGGCCCTCCCGTTCAAGTCCCCTCTAGAGTTCCAAGGGGTCAGTCGTTTAATATGTACGAAAACACCAGTATTGGAAATCAGCCGGTCAATCAGCCGGTCAATCACCCAAGACAGGAAGCGACTAATTACGACTTTGTGTCCCTCCCACCACGAAAAGCTACAATGGAACAGCCCTCTTACGACATAGTTCCTCCACTGAGTCGAACATCTGAGAATCAGCGAGGTAGCCCGGAGGTGAGCTCCTCTGCTGCAGGTGGCACGACTCTAACAAACCGATCCTGCCCCTTGGATGCACCAGGGTACGAGATTGTACAACCACGAAACCTAAGCTCTTTCGCTGGCGACTCAGCGCCTGAAATGAAACCCTTTGCTTCTCTGCCTGGGTATGAACCCATGCTCCCACCCCAAGATGAGGGATACGAAAAGCTGGGCCCTCCAGTTGACATCCAACAGCAGCTAAGCAGCCGTGGAGACTATGAAACCCTTGCCATGGTAGGTCCTCAAAAAACAGGGTCTCAGACAGAACCAGCGCGAGTGACCCAGCAACAGACCAGCGCAGTGAACATTCCTGGCTCGTCATCTCTGTATGAGGTGCCCCCGTCTATGGTGTCTCCCGTGTATGAAATTGCACCATCTCCACGAAACGTGCCTCCGGTAAGCTATCTACTTTATTTAACCCCTTAATTCCCACAAGTGATTAACATGTAACTTCTCCCTATAATATTCTTACATTATCCAGCAAACAGGCAATGAGAATACTCAAACTTGTCATCTTAATCTAACATCAAATTCTCGTAGCGGATTTACAAGGAAATGAATAGTAGCCAGAAAGGAGAATTAACAATCAGATCATCAGATAACTTTTCCCTTAAGCGGCTGCCTATGGTGTAATAGACGGCAGTGCCCGAAAAGGGGCCATAAGGACAAACCCCAACACACGGGAGCTTGCTGCTTGAAGGTAGCAGTGGACCGCTAGTAACCGGCTTTTGGTGAAACTCGTGGTTAACTTGTGTACAAGTGGCTCCAAAGGTGTTTCAAGTGTTTTTTTTTTTCTTTTAGAGAAAATTTTTGTTTTGCCGTATTTGATTTTTTGTTTGGAAAGTGGTAAGGTTTCCTACATGTAGAAATGATTATGGTACGTGAAATGTGAAGCGGGAAGCGGGAAGAATTCGTTGGAAAGTATGTGGAGCGAAACGAAGTGTAACGAGTGAAGTGTTATGTGTTATGTGTGTTTCGTGAAGAACGAATTGTGTAGTTTGTGGCATGTAGTGCGAAGAGTTTAGAAGTGTTAAGTGCGAAGCCTGGTGCGTTATAGAGTGAATCCATTCCCGTCCTTCAGCTCATAACTCTCAGCAGACTTCTTACGTTCCGCTTCGCTCACAGCTTCCTGGCCACGTCTCTCTTAAGAGAAAGTACTTTGCTCATTTAATTAACGTTTCTACGTTCTCATAGCTTCCCCCTCGACCAGCACAGCCAACCCCTCCGACCCAACCCCCAGTTAACTTTGGAGTTCAGTGGATCGAGAAGGAACCGGAACAAGCTCGGCCTAAGCTCCCCCCACGGAGAATGAATGAATATTGCGACTGGCACTCGCTCAAGAAACAAGATCCCACGTCACCTGGGAGGCCCCCTAAGTCTGGGGCCTACGAAATAGTGCGCCTTGAGGGCTCATCAGAGGTAGGAACGGTAGACTTGGACAAATTGCGGTGGAGAGAAAGTCGTGGTTCTGGGGGAGACTATTGTACACTGTCACCTTCGGCCGTAGGACCTGGCGAAACTCTAAACAGAGACAGCATTGCTTCCAGCGAGATGTCGAATATGTCAGAACCTACAATGACACCGCCATTTTCTCCTCCGTCGCCAAACACTGCTGAAGCCTCAGTATTTGATGTTTTCGGATCGTTACAATCCTCAGATATGACGACAATTCCGGAGGCTCCCGAAGTTGTACAAGATCAACCACGACCCCCCCGACCCATTCCACGCAAAAGGACCAAACCGAAACTTCTTCCCCGCAACGACAGTTTGCACGATGAAGATTACGCATCTCCACAGGGGGAACCTACGAGAGCTGAAAGCAGTACTGTTTCTTTTGAGAGGAGTCAAGACCCGTTTAGTTTTCCTCCTGCAATGGCTTCCGCGCAAGAGATGGACAGCCCGAAAAACAGTGATTTTGCCGAGCTACATAAGCGCTTTTCGCCGCATTCTTCGCGCGAAAATATCTTTTCTGATGTGAACGCTGCACTCGGTGGAGAGCGGCAAGAGCCCGACGGAGCCGAAACTCAAACTGATGCGAGGCCTTCGCCGTTGGTTTATGAAAATGTGTTGTTTAGACGAAGCGATGAAGTAAACAAGAACTCGCCGGGTGAAACCCGCGAGAATGGAACTGTTGCGAAGAAAGATGATTCTGTTGAGAGGCCTGATTCATATAGGTTAAGCACATTGTCAGCGGATAGCCCCATGGACGAGAGAGAGGAATGGGAAAAGGTAACGTTTTCAATTTCAAATGAGATTTTGTTCCTGTTATGGATTTTTTCCTCGCTAATTTATCCTTTGAACTCAGACCTTTGGTATTGACAGGATTTTTGTTAACTCTATTATGTAAGCAGTTCTCAATTGATTGACGAAACACCGAAGCTAAGTTAATGACGGCAACCTGTAAGAACAAGGGTTGATGTCATCATTAGCCAATGAGAAATCAAGGTAACAACAGGTGAATTTCTTGAACTGAGCGCGGGAAAACGTGGGCGACCAAGTCTTACTATTGGCTCTAGTTTTGAATCTCATTGGTTTAGAGGATGACGCGAGTTCAGGACTAAAAATTAACTCCAGTGCTTGGTGGCCAGTCGGGCCAGTTTCCTTGAATTCTTAGTGGCCCATCCCAAAATGAAGTAGCCCTCGATTTCCTTTAGTCTAAAATGAAAAACTTGAATAAACGCCCCATGGCTTTTAACGGAGTGTTAACTAAAAGGAAAGAACAAGCTCGTGAAATCACTGTTAAAACGGCTCGGAATTTCCACTTCAGAACTAAAAACTTCTCTAAAATGGATGATCTTATAGTCCAGGCAAAGAAACGAAGAGAAAGGTAGTCCAATTAAACTACATATTGAGTTTTATTTTTAACTTTGTACTTCGCATAATTTACGTTGCAACTTTTCGAAATTCTGTAGCATAGTCGCACATCGGGCATTCAAACCTTAACTTTTGGTGGCCCTGGTCAGTTTTAACTCGCCACTGGCGACCGTGCGACCGCCAATTTTTAGCCTTGCGAGTTCTCTACACCAATCGGAGATCGCGAGAGAGAAAAACCAGCGCAATCTCAGATTATTTTCGACACTCCGTTGAAAATTGCTCTCATCTTTCAGATAATTTTACCCTGATCGTTAAGATAGGGGGGTGCTATAAAATGGAGGAAGAGAGATTTCTTTAAGAACATGTTCTATAGTTATTGGTGATCGGTCACTAAGCAGATTAATGCTCTCTTTGTATTGGTTGGCAAATGGTAAACAAACTGTAATACCTCCGCGAAAAAACAGCAACAGCAACAACAAGTAATTTAGTAACGGGAAATTATGCATAGAACTGACATTTCTCCCTGCGCATGTAAAAAGATGGGATTCAGTATATAGACCCTGACGTATCTTTCGCATGTAATTACATTAGCAATTAATTTTCTTGTGTTTTTGCTTTAGATCGAAGCCTTCCTGTCTTCAATATCTCAGATTGATATGCCTCAGACTTTAGAGCTACAGATCGCTGATGCAGGTGTCTTTTTAACCGTTTTAGTTGCTCTTGTTATTTTTCCTTCTCTCGTCGTGTTTGCTTTAGAATTTAAAAAAACACCTGCCTAGAAGATAGTGAGGAGAATCTGCAATGACTTTCTGCATAAAAAAGGGCACGTAACAGACACTTGGTCTTAATTTTCCTAAAAGGGGAGCAAATGGCAAATGCAAGGAAAATTAAATCGAATTTACTTGACACTCACATTTGAATGAAGTAAAACATGTTGGCATGAAGATGGAAAGAAAGTCACTAAATGATCCCCGCGGGTGAGCTGAATTAAAGACATTGTGAAAAAGAAGTCTGAACAAATGCACGCTTCGTTCCCGTAAACGAATCTGATCACAACTAAATGAAATAAATCATATGTTGACTTTCGGTTGAATTATAAGTAAAGCAATGATCCGAGCAGAGGAGAGCTGCTATAAAAGAAAACGGTAACCCCACTTAAATTTTACTTGCTCCCAGCTCAATTGGTAGTAGCGACTACCTAGTTTTTGAGATGCATGGGTTCGAATCATGTCGAAGCTTAGAAATTTCTGAGCTTTTTATCCGCAATTTTTTCAATTGCAACTCGCCTAAGAGAATTATTTCTTCATTTTGCGCTCTTGTATGTACATGTTAGGCAAGGCAGACACTGTAGCGGGCTGGCTGAAGGCACTGGATCTTGATCAGTACGAGTCGTGTCTGGTGGCCAATGGATTTGACAATATCATGTTCTTGGTACGTTCTACTTTTGCTGTTGTTCCTGTTGTTCATGTTAGTGCGCCTCTTTCTTGGTCAAAACATTTAGACCTAATGATAACGAAATGTGGTACAATTGATCGTTCGGATGAGTGTAGTCCTGAGGAAGACTGTTGTCGATAGTAGCGACTGACATTTGGACAACCCGAGTGGAAATCATCATCAAAGGTTGTCGAAACATCAGTTACCACTACTGACAACAGTCCTTCTCAGGACTACGCTCACCCGGGCGATCAAACTACACTGTTACATGCTACCCCCGGGTTCAAACCGTTTACTGCATTAAGATATATTTTTTGTAACCAACGTGGCACTTTTACAGAATGGGGTTCTTGAAGATGATGATCTTATGGATATAGGAATTGTGGACTTTAACCACAGAAGGTACGAATGAAAAAATTCATTTATTATTTTAAAAAATTCAGTCCTAATTTCAGTTCGAGTAAGCGTTTTGAAGTGTTTGTAGATTTGTCTGTCCCACGCTACAAATGAGATATGGAAGGAGAGTGAGCGAGTCGGCGAATAGTTTAAGCGAGTTAACTGTGGAAGTGGAAGAATTTACTGGGAGACGTTGACTACTGGGCTATATAATTCGTTGGTTTCACTGTTATTCTTTTATCTCGAACTGTCTCTTGTTTTCTTTTGATCTGATTGGTCGTTGTGGTCATTGTGGTATTGGTTGTGAGGCACTGAGTCGCGAAGCGCGGGAAAGCGTGAGTGATCAAGTGACGGTTGGTGTTAAGTTTGCATCTGATTGGTTGAGAGGATGGTGCATCTGATCGTTGTGAGGCACTGAGTCGCGAAGCGCGGGAAAGCGTGAGTGACCAAGTGACGGTTGGTGTTAAGTTGGCATCTGATTGGTTGAGAGGATGGTGCAACTTTTTTAGACCAATCACTGAACGTAGGGAAACAAAAGTAATAACTACAGACATCCAATTGGTTGTGAAACCAACCCTATTTTAATTATTTAACAGAACCATCATGGAAGCGGTGAAGACCTTAAAACCCTGTCCCCGGCTCAACGACCCTGCGTCAGCAAAGCCTGAGAGTTTGGAGGACTGGTTAGAGCTTCTGAGTCTCTCTGAGTACTATGATGTGTTTCAACACAATGGTTTTACCTATATGGAGAGAATACACAGGCTATGGGAAGTGGAGCTAACGTCGGTTAGTGACGTTGACTCATATTAAGCGGACATTCTTTAGAATTTCTGACACTTAATCTCCGCGATGACACGGGTATTCTTTCCAGAATTCTGTCGGTGGAAAAACTGTTTTGATTCACCTTAAAGCAGCGCACACGCAAGAACAATTACAAGTTATGACATCATTTTGAGTGCAATTTGGTGTTAATAAGTACGAGTAAATTATATGTGCCTGTTTAAACCAAATTGCACAAGAAATAATTTTGTTACCTATTACTGAATTTGCGTGAAAAGGTGAAATTTTGAACGCGCGCGCGCGTTATTTATAATTTGCACACGTGTTACGACTTTGCATTCGTGTTACATAAAAAACGCACTCGTGTTTTCAGCTAATTAGACGCGCGTAATTTTCTAAGGAAGAAAATATCTGCTAACGGGACCAAAATAGACATGAAACGGTTGAACGCAAACTTGGTGGTCAATGATAGTCAATGAAAGTTGAAACTATCATCTACTATCATGACCGTTTGAACGGGGCTTAACGCGTTATTAAATTTCAGCTTAAGTGTAGATTTGTCATGAAGCCGGGAGCTTAATGCAGTTCTCTTTTACGGGCTCCTAGGTTCTGGAAATAAACTCTCTCGGTCATCGGAAACGAATTATGGCTTCATTAAAAAAGGAAGCGAAGAAAAAAGAAAGAGAAGAACCATTAGAAGTAAGTCAAGACCACTTGAAGCCGAGTGGCGGCAAGACTGACGGACTGATTGACCTTCTAGGATGGCTGAATAACTGACTGGCTGGCTGCTTGACTGTGGGAATAGCTCGCTGGTTGGCCAGCTTGAAGTCTGACCAACAGACTGACTGACTGACTGACTGACCAGCTGATTGACAGACTGACTGGACTGACTGACTGACAGACCTACCGACCAACGGACCTACCGACAGTCCGACTGACCGGCCGACCGGCTGTCTAACCTAAAAACTGGCTGGCTCGGTCTTTATTTATTTATTTTTTTAACTGTCTATTCTTTCTTTCATATATTTATTTATCTATTTATTTATACATTAGTTCATTTATTTGATATTTACACGTTCTTTAATTGTTAAGAACACAAAGCTTGAAGACAGTAGTGCTGCTCTCGAAGTACAGTTAGCGGAGCTCAAAATGTACTGCCCAGATGAGAAACCGCCGACCATAACAACCGCCGGAGCAACAACCGAAGATGACCTGCTGGCGGCTGCCGAAGAGTTGATGACTGGTCCTGAAAAGGTATGAAGTCATGTAAACTTCGATTTTAAACCGAGGACAATTCAATCCGGATTGTTGTTGCTTTGAGAGTCCGAACGCATTTTCTTTTGCAGGCGAATGAAAGGAAGTCAAAGGAAAATGGGTCTATGAAGTGGAAACACGAACCCTCAATGTTGAT